CTCCAGTTTCGAAGTTCATCGCACGGATAGGGTCGCCTGTTTGCTTGAGTCACTCAGGGCATGGGGGGGGGGGCGGGGGGGGCGAGACCCTTGACGGGAGGTGGGAAGGGAAGGGTGTTGTTGGTGTTGTTGCAATTGTGTTCGTTCTCTTGGAGGGAGAAGCTGGTGCTGATGATCGGTCTTGTGTCTTAGCCGCATCATTGACGATACACTGGAAAGACAAGTAAGCTCATTGCCAGGGTATGGCACACGGTGTGCTTCTCTCATCTACTACTGGATGGTGGCGCAATTTGCAGGTGTGGTGTCCATGTTGTTGCATTTTTCAATTTGAGCCTGTCGGTTTTTATCTTCACGCGAAGCGCGGTCCTTCGCGCCTGCAGACCATTAGTCTTGTTGGACAGCGGATAATGATCTTTGCAGACCCTAAGCAACTAGAGTCAGCATAATGGTGACGGGGTGACGTTTTCGCGAGGGCGGACGCGATTTTTTAGCAAGCAGAGACGGGTGTGCATTCATTTCGCACGTGCGGAACAGCAGAAAGTAAGTGTGTTTGGCATCCAGCATTATTCATTGCCTTGTGTTCGGACACAGGAAGACGTCCGGTTCCGTTATTCTTCCTTGTCCTTTGACGTGTTATCACGCACCCCTTCGTGGGGTGGGATAATCTCCTGTATATTCTTTGGCGTTACGTGAGTTGCGTTAGGTCGCCTTAAAATCCGAATATCTTTCTTGTTCGACGTTTGTTTATGGGAAATGTAGTAGGTGGTGTGCCGGATGCCGCTGTTGAGTTAGGGTGCTGTGCTGCTTCCCGAAGGCAGGCAAACAGCGACCGCTTCGCTTCGAACGGTTAGTTAGATGGCCCCCCATCGGTCCTTAGATTTTGTGATGAAACAGCAGTGCCTGTTGCGACGTGTCGCTGGTGGTGATGGTGGTGGTGATTTTGGTTTTTGAGCGCGCGGCAAGAGGCTGACATCACCACTGGTTGCTCGGTGTAGAGGCCTTAACAGGCGCGAAATATGCCCAGCATCCAGCAGGGGTGTCCCTCAAGCCTTACTGCAAAGACTTAGAACGGGGTAGGTATACTAGTCAGTCTCTGTTTGCTATGGCCTGTTTCTGAGATCTGAAGGCCGTTTTCGCACTTGTGCTGAGGCAAAACAAACATTACATATGTGGAGCTCAGGATAGTATCATGATAGCTTCTCTAGATCGATACAGTCGGCAGGCAGGACGCACATAATAGGAGCTTGTGCACTGCTCCTGTTTACTACAGGCGCAACGGAGCGGAGGAGACGGGTGGCATGAGGTGTTTTCACGCAGCACAGACAGACACAGATCTTGCGAGACGTGTGACAGCAGTGGATCACAGCTGTTGTTGTTGCTGTTCGAAGGATCGCTCTTCTTGTGGTTCTCAGTGGCAGCGGATGGTTGATGAATTCTGAGGGAGGCTGAGAATTGAGTCCGCGAACGCTCGCCCAACTCTCTACTCCACCCTAACTTCAACTGAGTTAAGTTCGCTCGGTCCCGCTTGGTATTCCTCGCCATGTATGCCACCAAAGGAAAACAGCCGAAACCTCCGGTGGACGGTCACAGCCACCACACTTCTTGACCCCACGCTCTCCCAGAGTCGAGGGCTCCATTTCGAGGATTGTTACCATCTACTTATTTGTACGAAGCCACATTATGACCCCCCCTCACCACGTGGTTTTAGAGTTGGAAGGCCAACATGATGACCCCTTCACTCAATTTGGTAGTTGGACGCCCCGTCTAAAACCCAGTCGCACGGCTGCGGGGTGGGTGTACGAAAATAAAAAAAAAGTCTTTTTTCTAGAGCTTTCATCGGCGAAAGCCAGAGACCCTTGCTCGCCCTGTCCCCATGCCCGAGAAAAGAGCACGCTGTATTGGGGGGGGGGGGGGGCAAACCAAACCCACCCGGTTTTTGTCAAGGGGCCCCCCCTGGGGAAACATTGGAACACCCCCAAAATACCCGTGTCAATCTTGGTTTCCGGGGGGGCGGGGGTGGGGGGGGGAAAAGCCCTAAATTTCCCCGGAAGGGAAAATTTTAACCAAACCCCCGGGGTTCCCCAAATTTTCCCCCCCTTTTTTAACCCCCCCCCCCCCGAACCCCCACAAAACTAGTGGAAAATATGGAAAAACCCCCAAAAAAACCCTCCATCTTTGGCCCCAAGGCTAATGTAATGTGTAAGAAAAAATATTACTTCCCCAAAACCCACCAAAAAAAAAAAATTTTTTGGTTTTAAAAATCCGCACCAAAATCT